CCCCGTCGAGCTCAGGACAGCCTCTCGAACTAGGGATTTTAATTTTTGATTTGAAGAAAAATTTCCTGAGAAGTTAATTTTTTAGTTTTTTCTGAAAATATTTCGATCTTTTCCTATTTTTTTTTCTGGAAAAGTTTCCAGTTTGTTTTGCGGAATTTTTTTTTGGACTGTAAAATAAATTCCTAGCTGGTGACGCGCGGTGCAGTCGTTGGTGCAGCTGCGCCAGATCGGCCAGGCCCATCAGTGCAGAGCCATGCTGTCATTACCGACGCTATTGGGAGATCACATCCTTGGCGGACAAACAATTAGAAAGAAAAATATACCGGGGAGGGGGGGGGGGGGGCGCTTCCGGCGCGTGTCCCAGGAGGAGGCTGTGTGGTGCGTTTTCGCCTTTATGGTCGTCTCACGCACGGCAGGCGGCGGCGCTGGACCTAGGAGAGGGCGGACCAGCAGCAGCGCGGTATGCCTGCTGCTTGTTCCCAGGCCACCGGAATACGCCAACAAAACTAATATGGGATCTTTTGCGAAGTGATTTCATTTTTCTTTTTTTCGGGGGGAGTAGGAAGTGGTTTTCTTTCTTTTCTCGCGGTCAGCGGTCCATTTGAGTTGGGATATCCGGCGTGCGATTTTCCTTATTTAAAATAAGGCGAAATAACAGAGGTCTTTTTTTTTTTCATTTTGCCAAATATTTTTGTTTTGTATCCTAGTTGTTATATGGTACTGTACCCCCCTTCTTACAATTTTAGTCTTGCGCAAGGCTTGCATAAGTTTTCAAAGAGCCATCTACACTTTTAGTACTTCATAAGAAAAAATAAATAAAAAAATACCTGGACGAGTTTGAACGTAGCCCACAGAGCCCAGCTTGCAAATGCTGCTGGAGGGGGAGGAGGAGGGGGGGGGGAGGGGTACAGGGCGTGCGCGAAAATATTCGCGATAGGATCTCCTGAGCATGCGGGGGGGGAGTGTACTGTCGGCAGCTGCGGGGTGGCGGGTCCAGCCCCAGCCCAGCCTCTCATCTCATACCCATTGCGTCCGATGTAATAATAATTATTTTAGCCCGTGGTACGTGATGTAACACCAGTGCGATGGCGCGCGCCGAGCCGATCTCTAGAAGGAGCAAATCATCTTTCATGTATTCTTTTTCTCGCCCCCCCCCCCCTTTCTGCTCTCGTTATTATTAAAACTGGCGCTGAATTGTCTGGCCTTTGATTATTCCGCATTTGATTGCGACAACGAGCGCCTGCTGCGGACCAACCACTTCGCGTATCGTTCCCGGACCCGATTTGCTTCGAGGTTTGCTTTTTATTATCGTTAAAATACATATTGCACGCACATTAAGCCCTAAATCGGCTTCGTTTGCCGCGAGGTGTTGTCACGACGAGTCACGACGTTTTCGTTTCCTCACTTGACACTAGACGCACCTCTGTAGGTCGACCGCCGCGCCGGGTCGGGCTATGGGCGGCCACACCCATAAGAAGTCGAATCCATAACTTTTGTCTGGGAGCCGGGGCACGGCGGGGGGGGGGGGGTCTATCGGATTTATCGTGCTCATGCAAATTTAGCCAGCTAATTGACTCATTGACTGGGAGTAAATTTTGTCTCAACGTCGCCGCAAATCAGACTCTTTTTTTTTTTTTTCGTCTGATCGATTGGTAATGTTGGTGATGATGATTTTTTTTTTCAAAGTGCCGCGCTGTGGCCGCCAAGGCGCGAGGACGCGGACGCGTTTGGATAAGTTGGTATCCCTGGACGGACAGCGCGCGCTAAGTGGACGCTGAGCAGGCCGGATGGACGGGTATAGCAAAAAGAGCATTTTGGCGCTTTGAGGAAGCGCGTCCCCTATACTCGCCTCCTCCTGGAGCGCGCCTGGCGTTCTCCTGGAGCTCGCCTGTAAGAGCTATGCGTGACTGTTGGCGCGCCTCTCCCGTCTGCTCTGATCCTGATCCTCTCCTATCATTTAAATGTCGTCAGTCCCCCCCCCCCCCCAATCCTCCCCAGCCACACTGCTCCGCTCGCAGAAGAGAAGAATGCGTTCTTTATGATGTACGCAACGGCGCGACGGGCCCATAGCGAGCCGAGGTCTGATTGACCTGACCCACCCGACATTGCTGCATTCTCGCGGAGTTATTGTAGTGCAATAGGGGGAGTGTCTGATCTGGACTTCCCCCCACAACCAAAGAGTCCTTTCAAGCTAAAGATTTGAAGACACTTTCAAAAAAACTAACAAAAAAAAAACACAATGCTAAAGTTTTGATGAGTATTTTTTTTACGAAAGATTTGAAGAGTCTTTTATGGGCCAAAGAGTGAAAAAACAAAAACATTACACTACACTTTAAAAAACCATAAAATGGCATTTTTTGTAGTAATTTTTTTTTTTAAATAATTGTGTAGTGCCTCTCTTTAGTGCCATTACATCTTGAAAATTGTCGCCCTTTGTCGCAAAGTCGAACCGAGCAACACCACCACCACCAGCAGCAGGCTGTCATAGAGGCGCCTATATGTCAGGCGCCGCCCCAGTGCCCCATTCGGTCACGCGTTACATAGGGGAGCAGGCGCGAAAGCTGCCCCGCCCCGCCCCGCCCCGCCGCTCCCACTACGCGCGTGCATCAGCCGGTGTATTGTTATGTGTGTGGGTTACACTGGGGCGCCTGCGCGGTTTTGGTTTGGGTTTGTATCCTGACACAATGCCTCGTCTATCGCGGGCCGGCCCAGACCAGTCCTGCCCTCTCTCTCCCTCTCCCACACGCACACTCTCTCTCCCTTTCGCCCGTCGGCGCCCGGCTGTCTTGTCGCTGTGCGAATTTGGGGTGATTTAGGCCCCGCCTGGGTGGTGCCCCCTGCATGGGCCACGGCGGGACCGCGGCGGGGGCGGCGGGGGCGGCCGGCTGTGCCGGGGAGTTATGGGGGCCTAAGTCGACAAGCGAGCAGCACACTCTCGATTTCGAAAGGGACTCGCGAAAGTGTGCGGCTGAGAGCGCGACCGGCAAAGGCAAAGGCAAAGGCGGGGTCGCCTCGCCGGGTCGAGTCGGACCGGCCTGACCCGACCTGACGTCAGGAAGCATTAATTGTCATCATAACCGACCGTTCGTTGGCAAACGTCGTGTCGAAGCAGCAATGAACGCACAATACCTACATACCCCCCCCAACCCCGTCGAGC